AAAATCGTGTTTTGTTAAGTTTTGTTGTACAGTCAACAATTTCTGAAGGTTTTTTTACCTTTCGAAATTGTTGACTGTTAACAGCTATATGTTAATCAAAACCATATTTTGTGAATGAAACTTCTCCTTCAGTGGATTGAAATTCAGCAGATTGTCATACATTTGATGTGTTTAAAACCAACTAGTAGGGTACTTGTCTTACAGTTTTGGGGGTTTTGTTTCTGGACTGTATAAACTGTGCCTTTTGGTCATGTTACAACTAATATTATACATAAGAGAAATGTTATTCGTAGAGACATCTTCATCAATATACACTACTGTTTAAATGTTTGGCTCCAGAAGCCTGTGGTTTTAGCCTGTGGTTTACATCCATATTCCCTCCCGATGACTCGGAGAGACTGACTTGAATATTTCACTGAAAATGCTTTCCAGGAACTGGGAGGTCAAGGAAAGGGGAAGGACTTCATAAGTCTTGGTTTACAAAATGGACATCTTGTGTTTAGGTGAGTAATAAGCACATTTTCATACTAACAAGCCACACGGGTACATGGCTTAAGAGTCTAATGTGATGACAGTATAATAACCTGGAAATAGTTTGAAATATACACAAGATCTCATGACTTATGTTACTATGGTTCTTTGCTGCAGCCAGTATGTTTCAGTTTCTTACCGATCTAGATCAGTCCTTTGTAGCCGGTCATAATGTGCTCTTGTTCCTCTGATAGTTACCAGCTGGGCAGTGGAGAGGCTCAGATTCTCTCCAGAGAGCCAGTCAATGATGGACAGTGGCACATGATCACTGCAGTCCGGTAACGCTCCTTACCTCTCCAAACTGTTATAGAAAGCATGACAGAAAGATAATAGTGAGAGTTCTTTCTGTGTGTTGAACAGAACGGGTAAGCAGGGCTACGTCCAGATCGATGGAGGATCTGTCCAACGTGGACAATCGCAAGGCAAAAGCATCATGGTGAACACCAAGGGCAACATATACCTGGGTAAGTATAACATTACAGTGGTATTTGTTTACTTGTATTGATCAGATTGTTGTTTCACTCTTAACATCCATGAAGTGATGTAGACTATGTAGATGTTGTTCTGAAAAAAGGGGTTTTTAAAGAAATTATATAAATAAATAATAATTCTAAAGAAAACACTACTGTTTGTAAAGTTTGTGTCAGTAGGATGTTTCTTTTAAAGTAAAGACATTTAATAATTTAATTTATTTAATTTAATAATTAATAATTTAATTATTATAAACGATTTTAAAGATCGTTTAAAATCGTATTTCTATTTCAAATAAATTTAGTTATTTTGTCCTTTCTATTTATCAAAGAATCCTGAAACAAATGTATTAGTTTCCACAAAAATATTAAGCAGCATGACTGGTTTGAACATTGATACCAATAAGAAATGTTAGTTAAGCACCAAATCAGAATGATTTGAAGGATCATGTGACACTGAAGACCTGTGAACATAAGAGACTTCTTTCGAAAACATTTAAAAATCTTTTGAACAGTAGTTCAGTATTTTTTTTCTTTTCCAGTTTGGTGAATAAAAACATGGGGAAATTATTATATTTTCAAATATACTCTCTTTAGAGGGCATTAGCATTTATTACAAAAATGAATTTAAGACTCTAAAATCTAGGCAAAAATATGAATTTTCATTCACATGCTTTTCTTAAACATATCCTAACATGAAAAAAAATCTAAACTATTATTTAATCGTTTTTTAAATGTATAAGACTTCTCCTAAACATAGAGTAACCAAACTTTTACACATAGTTTCTCTTACCTGATTTATTCACACAACCATCTACATAAAAAGCATGCCCTAAGTTTGGATGCCTCCTACAGATGACACATAGAAATGGCTTTTTCTTGTAAAAGAAACTCATAATCATTTGATTCGGACATAAGGTTGTTGGTATTTGGACTGTAGGTGGAGCTCCAGACATGAAAGCATTGACCGATGGGAAGTACTCATCAGGTATCACAGGCTGCGTGAAGAATCTCTCTCTGATGAACGCTCGACCGGGAGAACAGCCAGCGCGACCTATCGACCTGCAGGTCCACGCAGAGGAGGGCATCAACGTGGAGCGCTGCTTGACATAGACGCAGTACTAAAACACTAGCAGAGACTACAGAAAAAGACCCCTCATCCACATTCACACTGAGACGCTTACAGGACAAACTACAGTCACACTTTAAGAGACACACACTGACACGTGTTTCTTGGTGCTTCACCGCAACTGAAAAAAACACACAAGAAAGGATTCTTTGCTCTGTGCTGCGTTAAACCAAAAAACGAGAAAGAAAAAGTTATGATATTAACAAGTCTTCAATTTTTCAGTGTTTTATGCTCAATGAAGGACTTATTAACACAGAAGCTCAGTTTACATACTCCGAACAGTAGCTTTATACCCATGAGAAAAAGATGACAAAAAAAGGTTTAAAAATAAACGTGATGAGCCTTCTACGGTGGGTCAGATCCTATGGAATCGGAGATGTTTTTACAGCACTGAATTTTTATTTATAAGCATATTAATCTATATATATTATATTTGTGGGGGGAAATGCAAGCTAACAATAACCTGCTCATTTGTTTTCCTAGCAGTGATTCTAGGCTCTAATAATGCGTGTCTGAGGTTTAGTGCCCGAGCTGTGTTAATACTTGAAGACTGTGCTGCCTTTTATTCTGTTTGAGGGCCGGTGGGGGCGAGCATGCTTAGATACCATAATGAACGGGTCTCTGTGGGGTCACAGCACAGAAGACGTCAAGAAGCATCTCAGGTGAAGAAAAAAATACAAATTGGGAGATCATATATATACGGTGTCAACTGCATACATTTGAAATGACATGACTTCCATGCTTGGAAACATTGCTGTGTCTAGTAATATAAAAAAAAACATATGGTGCTAAATTCAGACATGACAAAGGCAACAAAACAAGCACATAATCATAGTTTCAGTTTCTTGTCATTTTTGCTTCTCTGAATGGATTGTAAGAAATAAAAGCCGCAGCAATAAAATAAGTAATAATAAATATTTTTTTTTTATTTTACAATAAAATAAAACACTGTTTACTGATTACAATCCCTCAAGCCAAAGTATTGAGACTGAAGTTCGTTTTAGATTAAAAGTGGATGTGTTATCTCTAAATAGTGAAATATTTTGACATTATATTGTTTGTTTTTTTTGTTTAATAACAGAATTAGAATTATTAAAATTCTTATAGTGGATGACAAATGTTACAGAAAATCACATAATTGAAAATCATTATTTTTCTATTTCTTTTATATTTTTACAAAACAAGAATGACAGCTCGCTACAGTTTAGAATTCATTGCAGTATACGTTACATGGTTAAATTACAGAACAAATTTATTCTTAAATTGTCCCATTTTATATAGATGATAAAAGCCAGTAAACTTTCAAATTACAAATTACTATTTCTCACAGTTTTGCTGTTAACAACCACACTAACATATTATTTTTAATGATTGATTTGTATTGAGATGTCTTTTTCCATTACATTCATATTCTTTAGGAGTCTTACAGAGTACGTTGAACAAAAGAGGAAATGTGTGTCATCTTCAAGGTCCTCCAGAGGGTTAATGGAGAACTGACTCATCTACAGCAAACCATGAAGGATCATTATCTCAATCAGAATGTACAGGAAGAGATTCTTTCTGGTTGTTCTCATTGCATAGAGAAATGAATGTGAGAAGAGACAGAATAGAAGGTCTACAGTGAAAATACTGCCTAGTGAAACCCCTCTTTTATTAGTGCTGTGACTTGGAGCTCTAATGAACATGCTCGCCCACATGGGTCAGACAGGGGTCAAAGGTCACTTTGGCCCCCTTGTGTCTTTTTCACCATTTTATATGACTGAGGCTTGTCTGTTAATTTTCTTTTAAAAAAGGCGCATTACTGCTTAATTAAAGTTGCTTTACTTTTATTATTATTATTTGATTCTGTCTTTTGTCATCACTGATTTCCGAGCCAGAAATGGCTTTAAAGGGGTCATATGATGCAATTTCAAGTTTTCCTTTCTCTTTGGACTGTTACAAGCTGATTGTGCATAGATAAGATCCCTGAAGTTGCAAAGACTAAAGTCTCAAAACCAAAGAGATATTCTTTATCAAAGTTAAGACTCTGCCACGCCCCCTAAAACGGCTCATTCTAACACGCCCCCACATATCTATGTCACTATGTGGAAATATTTGCATAATGCTGCCCAAATGTGCACGCAAAGAAAGAAGGCGTGGTTTCAGTAACCGCAGTTAGTGTTGAAGCAGCATGTCAGGGAGACGCTGTGTGTTTCTAGGCGAAAGCAAAAGCACTTTATTTGGCCTTCCGAAAGTAGATGCATTTAGGAATCTTTAAGATTACTTACAACAGAACAGCAATGCATTTTATGGATGACCGTTTCGTGAACCTAGGAGAGGGCTTTGCTATGACAATCTGGCGCTTCTGATTCAGCTACTGTTTTGTTATTAGTTTAAGTATTTGCTATTGATTGTTCAAATGCGGAGTTTTGCGCATGGTGTGTGTGTGTGTGTGTGTGTGTGTGTGTGTGTGAGGGGAACAGGGTCACATCACAGCAGTGAGCAGCCTGTCAGAAATCATAGCACGTCAGCTGTCTTAACCGCGGCTTGTGTACTGCATCATCTCTGTGTCTGTCACGCGACTCTGTTGCCCTGTCTTGATATTTACTTTGAAAGCTGATGCTCGCGATTATGGTAAGGGGCGTTGCATTTCCGACGCGTGCTTGTGGTGTTCGACCAATCACAATGTACTGGGTCAGCTGGCCAATCAGAGCAGACTGCGCTTGTAGGAAGGAGGGACTTTGTAGAAAACGACGCGTTTGAGAGAGGCGGGGCATAGAGGACCTACAATAATGTACAGTATTTGAAAAAGAATGTGTTTTTTGAACATTAAAGCATGTCAACATATTCTGTTACACCAAATAATGATCTTTAAAAGAAGCATCATATGACCCCTTTAAAACATGATCACACAAGCTGGTGGTTTTTTTTGTTGCTAATTTGTAATGTGTCGTACACCTACTGCACCAATCGATCTGTGCTTTTGTGTTTGAATTTTGATATTGAGATCAAAGATGGCTGAGGAATCCAGTTCCGTCTCAATAGTGTACAATAATTTCCCACAATCTACATGACCTGTGAGTTCAGTGTTTGGCAGGTGTGGTGGCTTCCGCCGCTGCTGTGAAGAATCTTTCTCAGAGTCTTGGAGTTTTGATGCCAGAAGAGATTTTATTTTCAGAGACAATAAAACCTGAGAGAACTCTGCAGAGCAATCTTATGGTCTCCGTTGTTTCTCTGTCTCTCCTCAGTCTGGCTTTTGATTGCTCCTGCCAGAGATTTGCATTTCAGGCTGTTCTCTTCACCCTCAGGAAAAGTCTCAAGTAAAAGAATCACCTTTTCCTGCTTTAAGTCAGTCTTTCTCCATTCTGAAGTCTAAACTTCTCTTTCAGGAGGTGAGGTGAGCTTCCATCAACCCCTCCCTCTTCTTCTCTTTGCAGCTGTCTTTGCTTCTTCACCACTTTGTTAGACAGACTCCAGTTCATTGCTTCCCTTTGTCAAGACACTGTTCCAGAAGCCATCTGAAATTTTAACACTCAGAGACTGCATTAATCAAATTGAACCTTTGTAAACTCTGACCAAATTGTGTCTGAGCAATCTGCTCTTTATCTAATTTTCACTTTTCAACCATCT